TCCTGCTGGATTAATTGTTATTAATTTGAGGCATTCAGGATTTTGTTGGCCGGTTGAAAATCCAGGTCCCATCCAAAGCTCCCTACATCCTTAGCCTCAACAGCATCCTGGGACAGTGAGTTCCTCCATCTCAGCACTGCAAATTATGTTTGGGCTGTGTTCCTTGTGGTGGTGTCATTTCACCCAAGGAGAATGGTGGAACAGGTCAAAATATACCTGAAAACTTGGAAGTCAACAACAAGTAGCCAGTGTGTTCAGGAGGCATGAGCCAGAGACCATAAACTGTGCTCTAAAGGCAGTTAACATCTTCTCTGTCCTCCTCAGGGGTACAAGATGGATGACCTTTTGACCTCGTACATCAGCCAGATGCTAACAGCCATGAGCAAACAGAGGAGTGCAAAGGGTAGCAAGTGAACTGCAAGAAGCCACTGGCAGGTGGCCATGGGGCTAATTCACCAGCTGAGGCCTGTGGGATACCCGTGCAGCTGGGGGAGAACCTTTGCCTCCCAGATGTGGAAGATGAGCCGAACACCATCAGGGAGTTCGCTGGACTCTGACCTTGAGGGCTCAAACCCCACTTCCCCTTCCAGCGAAGACGACTATCTCTGACCTCCCATTCTCCTTCCCCGCCCTGCACCCCGACTCCATCTTACACCTCAAAGATTTCCAGGGGACACCACCGCTCTCAGACAGTGACTGAGCAAAGACATTCCAACAGGAGGCTTGCCTGAACCCAATGGTTGGCATCGCAAAGGCTCTTGGAAGAGGAATTGTGTGTGTGTGCGTGTGCGTGTGGCTTGTTTTGGTTTGTTTTGGTTTTTTCTTAAGTAAGAGAGAATATTGGGATGCTAACAGCTTTTGGTGAAGTTATGGGCATTTCAGGTTTGAAGAGGCGTAACAGAGCCCTGGCCCATGCTGGAAAGCTATCCACTGAACACTGCAGTGCTTGTTTTTTTGACATTACAAAAGAATACGTTGTGTTCTTAAGGACAGAAAGAAAAAGCAGGCTGGGAGGAGCACATTTTAACTAGGAATCAGAATAAACAAACTACTGATCGAACAGGCTAGAGTACTAAAGTGCTGTCTGTGCAATGCTGGAACTATTTAAAGAACAAATTTTAAAGTTTTGTTTCTTCTTCTATTTATTTTTTAAAATATTAAAAAGGAAAAAAAAAATCCTGCATTTCGTGCCGGTATTGGGACGCTGATTCGGGGCTGAGGGCGACCTGCAGGACAATCCTTCGCCCAGGGATTCCCCAGAGACGTGATTGCCGGAGGCAGAGTAAGGCACAGCTTTCCCAACTTATGGGCTCAGCTGGAAGTGAAGCTTGGAAGATGAATTATCTCCTTTTGCCCCTTGTGTCCACACAAATTAACTCTGGGAGGATCTTTACTGCAAGCTTCAATATGGATGTAGGGGTTTTGAAGTCCCCATGCTTGGAAGACTGAGGCCAAGCCTGTGTTGAGCTGTGGTTCAAACACGGACTTGGCCACCAGGGTTGGAAACAGCTATGATTTTATTGTGCTTTTGTGTGTGTTGCTGTATAAAATGGCTCTTTATGAGTCCCAGCTGGACCTGAACCACTCACAATGAGGGCAGGCCCTTGATTTCAGTGGGCGTTTCTCCGTCTTTGTTCAGCTGTACTAATCTGTTGGCTGGTTGTCCCATCTTCCACCCAACACCACATAGTGCTAACCAGCCTTCTTCGGAGCAGAAAGGGAACCTGCCAGCAGATAGGAGGCTGAAGCCATGTTGTGTCTGGGGGGATGCAAGGGAAGGAGCCTGGGGTGCCTTTCCAAAATCCAGGCTTCGAAGGAGCACGTGCCTGGGTGTGTGGCAACAAGAGGGGTGAGAATTGTCCACCAAGACCTGGTGCTCGCGTCACTAACACCAAGTGGGCCTCAGCAGATGTGGGAGACCTCTCTTGGTCCTGTGCATTGGGCTGGGTTTGGCTGCTTTCATAAAAGTCCATATTGTAGGGTGTTGTGTGTTGTTCTGTTAAGCTCAGCTGGGCTCAGTCGCCCAACACTATGGTGTGCCAGGCAGAGTCAGCAGCACTGCCTACCAGACCTCAAGGACTGTGACATCTGACTGGGATGCAGCAGTGACTTTGGACCTCGGTTGCTCCACCAAGGTGAATGAGATGCTACACGGAGACATCCACTGGCCAGATAGGGCTGCTAGGAGATCCCCTTCCTCTACTGTCCCCCTACCCAAGGCACTCTGGTGATGGGAGCACGGTTACACCAGCCAAGGCTACATTGGGAGCCAAGCTGCCTTCTCACCATCCATCTCTGATGCTTCTCTCCACTCCCCAGCTGCCATGATCCAGCTGTCCCAGGGATCCTGCCTGTCCTTAGACACATTCCCATCATCCCCACCACCACTGCTTTCGTGAGTCTCCAGCCATCCCTGCCTCCCACAGCATGCTCAGTAGATGATGCAGCATAGCAATGATGTTTTCCAGCGCTGCCCTGGGCCAGCTTTCCCCTGCCACCACCCTCGTCCCTCCACTCACAGCTCTGTCAGCCTCCCATGCACCCCACGGTTTTGGGGGGTGCTGGGACTCTGTTTGTGTGTGCCTGTGTGTCATATGTATTCGCGTCTGCTGGCCTCTTTGTATTCACACCAAGCGATGTAACATGAAAAGCATATGTCCAAGCAAAATACTCTAATTAAAAAGCATCAAGTGGTTTGTGGGAGGCTGTTCTGCACTGCGTGGTTATGGTGGTGTCTCCACGGGGAAGGGTGGGCTCAGGGCTCCCAGGTCCTCGTTGGGGACAAGACTTCTCCTTGCAGAGTGGGAGTCCTGGTGAGAGTATGCAGCAACCCAGCAACAGGGAGCAAATCACCAGTGTGCCCGGACTGGAAACTGAGTGAAATCTTTTTTCTTTTTGCATAAAAACCACTGAAGCCCAGCAAGTCTCCATCGCTCATCCTCTAAGACAAGGGCTGATTCCTCCACAAAGGCCAGTTTTGAGCTGAATCACTGGATGTAGGAAGTACAGCGTGAAAAGTTTGTGTGTGGGAGTGAGACTGCCAGCCACGTGCTTAACGGCATTGTCAGACCCTGCCAGCTGTCAAGCACCAAAAATAGTAGCTGAGATGTGACCGGGCGTAAAGCATTGCAGGAGACCACAGGTCTAATTAGCCAGGCTCTGCCTGGACAAGGCTCCTGAGGATGAGGAAGGTGATTATGGGGAGATACCACTGCGTAATGGCCAGGCAGCAGCTAGATACATGGATGAAGGTGCATTGAGGTGGCTTTTCCCTAACACATATTAAAAGCCATTATCGGAGGACCACAGCATGTCCCAGTCAAGTCCCTCACTCGGACACCAGGGGACAGGCCTAGGACCCCATGGTGCACACCACCACTCAGCCCATATACTCTCCACCACCTATTTTTGCTGCTCTCATACTTCCACGCAAGTGGTACCCACAAAAAGTTATGAAAGAGCTCTGGAGGTGGGGCATGGGGAAAGGGTTTAACACTATCAGTAGCATTCTCCCCCCATGCTTCATAGACCTGGAGCTGCTCTGCACCAATCCACCAGCCCTTTAGCCCTTTTCCAAAGGAGGATGCTGCCTTTTTGCATTTCTAGCCTCCCAAATACCCCAAAATTGCAACTTGGAAAGGTTTGAGTGCCTCTCAGCATAGCTAACTCTGAAACTTAATGTTTCCCTGTCACAATTCACTTGTGATATAGCTTTATTTAGCAAAAACATCAAGCTGCATGAGGCTCATGTATGAGAAAATGTCTATAGCATGATTTAGGTAAAGACTATTTTCTTCCCCTTTCCCAGTTTGCCGAAATAAGAACAAAACAGGATAGGAGAGCTAAAATGTATTTAAAACAAAACTTGCAATTTACAAAAAATGTGTTCTTATTATGTGTTCAAGTACAAATTTATGGCTTAAACCTGGGAGATGCTCACATCTCCCTTGCAGAGCAAGGCATAGATCCCCTTCCCCCTGTGTGCCAGCAGCCACTGGGAGAAATGAAAATCAGAATAAATCCCAGGGTGCAGAGCAGGTATACAGACCTTCCCAAGGGAAAAGCAAGCAGTACACTTGGTGGGACCAATTCACATGCAGCTCAATCTTTTTGAAGAAGAGTGTTGTGCTCCTGGTCATAGTCCCAGTAGCTCCATGGCCAAGGCACCAAAAAGTCCTTCAGCACCCATGGGAAGATATGTCCTTGCCCACAGCCAAGCGGAGAAGACTGTCCTCTTAGGGTCTATGGCAGGGCAAGAGCGGAGAAAAGGAAAACCTAAGCTGCCCCTGCTTGCGTTACAGAAAGGTACAGACCCTAGTGACCCAGCCAGCAGCACTTCACCATCGTGGTGGGGCTGGTGTGCTCTCGGGGGTGGAGGAGGCCTGCAAGGAGGGAGGGAGGGAGGGAGTGTGTGAAGAAGAGGCTGGTCTGATGGGAGAAAGCTGAGAATGAGGAGGACTGGAGGATGCTCAGATGTTTGCAGCCTGTGTAAAACACAGCTGTGGAAACAGAGGGCTTACACACGGCAGGAGGGATCACAGGATGATTGCCCTGTGGGATGCCAGTGGTCTCAGAGGGAAATGGTGGCTCCCATCATGGTGCACAGCTTCTTCATGGCTGCAACTCCATCCGTGCTCCCCTACACCCCAGGGATCCCTGCCAGACATGGGATTGCGAGGAAAACTGTAGGAGAGGAAGCTCAGTGCTCATCTCCAGCAGGGTCATGGAGGCAAATGGCTCCTCTTCACCAGGTGGATCTGAGCCCCCCCAGTCAGCCCCCTTGGCAGGCTGGTGTTTGCATTGCAGGAAAGTGCAACAGGGGAGGGTCTGCTCTCCAGTCCTCATCAAGATGGCAGGTCTGCATCCCCTCCTTGCCCATCAGGCCATGACAGCGGGCATGTCGCTGAGCTCTGGAAAAGGGGACACACACTGAGTTACCAAAATGCCTGCAGTTGTTTTGCCAGCTGTTGTGAGCAAACAGAACCTGGCTGAAAATGTGCGCAGCCCAGGTGGGGTCATTTTGTCTGGATGATAGAGCTCCATGGGTGCAGAAGCCTGGTGCATGGGAGGGTCCCCAGCTGATCCCACCCTGCCTTGCAGACCCAAGAGCGCTCAGCACCTCTGGGCTCTCTTTTCACAGCATCACAGAGTAATGCATGTTGGAGGGGACGTCTGGAGGTTTCTGCCCCAACCTCTGCTTGAAGCAGTGCCAATTAGATCGGGCTGCTAAGGGCTTTGAACATCTCTGAGGGTGGATATTCCCCACCTGTCTGAGCCCCTGTTCCAGTATCTGACCACCCTCATGGGGAAGGTTTCTTTTTTTCCCTCTTTATACCTAGTCAAAATTTCCAAGGTTGCAGCTTGTGCTGTTGTCACTGCATATCTGGCTCCATCTTCCCTACA